CAGCGAGAGTAAAAGACCTGTTGACACTTCGTAATGAATGGGAAGCCTCTACCTGCAGGTGCTTATGCTGGATCATCTCCAGGGGCTTGTGGTCCGTCTCTATTGTGAAACTTTTCCCGTACAGGAAAAAGTGGAATCGTTCACAGCCGAAGACCACTGCAAGCAGCTCTCGCTCTATGTTGGCGTACCTCGTCTCTGCATCACTGAGGGCCTTTGACGCAAATGCGATACCCTTCCCATCCTGCAGGAGAGTCGCTCCCAAGTCCTGCAGAGAAGCCTCTACCTGCAGTACCGTAGGCTTGCTAACATCGAAATACGCCCAAGTTGCATCATGACATACCTTGTCACATTGAAGGCAGTCTGGTGCTTCAAAAGACCACGTAGGCTTGCAGTCTGGGCTGAGAGATTTGGTATGAATGGGCTAAGGGAAGTTATCATACCAAGGAACCCACAAAGCTGGCTCTTGTTCTCAGGTGGAGACATTGACTTGATTGCCTCTACCTTGCGAGGATCAGGATGGATGCCATCTGCATCATAGATCATACCGAAGAAGGAAATCTGGTTGACCTTTATGCTGCACTTGCCACTGTTGAACTGAAGACCGTACTTCACAGCTTTGGACATGAGGTGGTTCAGATTCTGATCGTGCTCTGCTTCACTCTTGCCGAACACAACAATATCGTCAGCGATCCATATTGTGCCGGGGCATCCTTCAAAGATTTCGTCCATTCGCTGCTGGAATACATCCTGAGACATTGCTAGACCGAAAGGCATTCTGAGATATCTGTACCGTCCAAAAGGACTATTGAAGGCAGTTAGAAGTGAACTGTCATGGTCAAGCTTGATAGACCAATAACCATTCTTGGCATCGAGTTTGCTAAGTGTCGAGCACCTGATAGCTTGTGTATCACCTCATCTGTCGTGATAGTGCGATAATGGCAACCGTCGAATAGCTCGGTTGAGATCCTTGGGATCCAAGCAGACCCGGAGTTTGCCATTCGACTTCCTTGAAACAGCGATGCTGCTGACCCATGCTGAAGGCTCAATGACTTGAGTGATCACGCCATTATCTTTCATGTCATTAAACTCACGCTTCAGTTCATCTCATAGGTGGATTGGGCACCGTCTAGGGGCATGGACTACAGGCTGAACATCTTGATCAAGAACAATATGATATTCTCCTGGGAAGTTGCCAATTTTGTCAAATTGGTCTGGATACTGCCTTACTTTCTCAATGTATAAGATCACATATTACACATTGGACACAATTTCCTTACATCGTATTTTTCTAAGAATAATATATTGGTGTATTTTTATAAACTATCAAATGAAAATATCCGGGGGGTACCCATCTCAAGAACAAAACTGATTCACCGGTCATGTTATGAAATACTCACAATTATATTTTACCAATACTTCTATTGTATAATCTACACAAATTTGGAAGTATGTTGCATCTCTTATTTCTTGGTTAAATTTTCAATCTTTTTTATTACTAATTCATTTAAATAATTGCATTTTCCCTAATATTACTTTTGTAATATTTTGATGTTATTGACGTTGGTTTCTAGGAACGAGCCCCTGCAACCCACCATCGGTATGCACTTTTATTGTAAGTAGCGGTTTGCAGTGAAACCTGCGAAAAAGTGTATACTAATATCATTGTTTTTCTGAAAAATACTCCAAAAATAAAAATAAAATTGACACGAAACAGGTAATAAACAACGACTTTTAACTCATGATCTTTATTTGGACATTTAATGAATATTTACTTCATTTTGGGTATGTTTTAGTAGGGTATCTCCACGCCAGAGTTACGGGTGAAATTTTGGAATAGGTTTCTGAACAAGCGCCCTTATAGCCTTGGTTAGGCTTAGCTATACTGTTTTCACACACTGGCAAAATTTTGCCTAACCCCGGACTATACTTATACTTCTATTCTGCTACTTGTCAAAGCCTGTTCAGCATCTAGACAAGGGTTTCTTCTGCCGATAGTGGACGGCTCGTGCGAATTTGTTC